ACCCCCCCCCCCCCCCCCAAAAAAAGCCATTGATTTTTGTGTGACTCAGAAATGGATTACTGTCAAATAGTACAGGTCTGCCAGTACTGGTTCCTATCACATTATTTCTCCCTAGCAAAAACTTTATCTCAGGTAGTACTGGAAGGCTTTGTTTTGACTTAGTGCATATGCTTTGTCTTCTGTTTATTTAGAAGGCTTTTTAATAGCCATCTCATTTCCTGTAGTACTTAACCTAGGACACTATTTCTTTGGAAAGGGATTCATTCCAATTTGTACCTGTACCTTTTGAAATTGCCCCCGGGATGCCATGGAAAAGATGGTGGGATTTAGTGGAACTGTTCCAAGTCCCTAGACACAGCCTCTAGTTAGCAGAGACAAAGATTCCTAGAGACATCCTTAAAGTGAGAAGATCTGGACTTCGGCTCTGCCTGGTCTGATTTCCTGTAACTCAGACATGTCACCTGCACCACCTCTGACAAAGTCCTCCAGACTGCAGATGGGCACTCCAGTATCATCATACTGATTCAAGAGAAAGTTCACGACATTGTAGGATGGCCGTAGACACAATAACTATTCCCTGGGCTAAAATCTCACCCTCTGATTTTTAGCTATTTGTTCTACAAACAGCTTCAGAGAATGAGTCCAGTCTGAGTTCAAGAAATGTCTTTTTAAAATAGTTATGAACAGGCATAGCTAGCCCAGGACCACATTCTTTAGGTAGGGATACACACCCAGCCTTTCTTCTCCTTTCTTCTATCTCTGAGTGACACTTAGACCTTGGACCTTGGAACCATCCTACTCTTTGACTATCCCATTTGTACCTGGAGCTCCAAAAGAACTCTGGTGGCATTGTGGGGGGAGGGGGGTCCCAGTTTGTTCTGAATACCAACAGTCTGTGAACATGACTTGGGAGCCTCTACTTTTCTGAGCATTCTTGACAGAGAGCTAACTGATATTGGAAATGCGACATTCTCCATGCACATCTTTTCTCAAGAACAGCTAAGTTTAGCCTCCAGCTAAGTAAACATTCCTTTTTCCAGCCATTATCTACTGGCTTCATCCTTGTCCCTGTAAAGTTCCATCTTACTGCTTTTGCTCTCATCATTTCTGCTTACTGATTTCTTATCCCTAAAAGAATTGTTTACTTGTCTCCCTAAGGTTTTGGAAGCCTAATATTTAATATAAGCCATTTCTGAGAACCCTGAAAGGACTAAGGACAGGGCTCTGTGACATGGCCCTGGACATCAGTGCAGGTCGGCATGAATATATTAACCAGTAATCCCTGAAGTTGTTAAGTGTCATTGAACTCATATCACCAAACTGTCATGTCACCTACATTTATCCATCCTTTTCAAAGTTATCAAGAAAGTCTAAAACCAAAATACACCATGTCAATAACCTCTCCCATCCACCAACCTAGAAACCCTGCCTTAAAAAGTGAAATGAGGTTAGCCTGCCAAGACTCTTTGAAGTCACCTCCTTCTAGTATTTAATGATGTTATTTATCTTTGCTAAGTAGCCCCCAGGCCTCTGAGTAATTTCTTCTAAGTTTTCAACAAGGGTCAGCGTCAAGCCTAACAATCTCAGGTTTCATTTCTCATTTCAAAATGGGGACAGTTGCTTATCTCCAGTCTAACTTCGTATGCACTCTCTGTGATTTCCTGCACGTTGTTAGCAGAAGCAATCTATACTCTTTCAGGATGGTAATTAGTTTGCAACTGGTCACTTGAACTTGTTTGAAGTACCTTGATACGCTCTTTTTTCCCTTTTTTTTTCTTTTTTAAAATCAGCTCTCCTATCAGGAGCTTCTGCTCTGTTTTTACTATGCATTGCATTTCAAATCTAAGCCGTGTTCTCTTTCCTGAAGAATTTGGAAACAGTGCGGCATAGGTGGTATGCACACATGTTAAAAAACACCATGGCACTTGGGACAGAAGAATATTGAGTTTGAGGCTAGCCTTGGCAATATAATGAGACCTGGCCTCAGAAGCACAAACAAGAAAAGCCCAAGAGTCTAGAAACAGAATATGGGTTGAGCTTACCTTGCTTGCTCACTCTATAACTGTTTCAAAGATGTGTGATTTGGAGGCACATTCCTTGAAACCAGTGCTGTTGTCTACACAGGGTGTGGACCTTAGGTCCGGCTCTGAAGATGGAAGCCGTAAAGCAGGTGTGCACGGGAGAGAGGCAGAAGGTCCTTCCTGGTCAGTCTGATCAGTGGCTACGTGCTGGCACACAGTGTGGAGGACACAGCAGGAATGGCATCTCCTCCCTGGACATGTATTTTCCCCTTCTAATTTTAATAAGCCCTGGATGGTACCTTTATGAATTGGACAGACCTAGGCTTGTTCTGAGTTTAGCTCTTTTTGCATTGGGGAAATTGTTTGCTCATCCTGCAAATATTTGCTGTACATTTTTCACAGTTCCAACACTAGACTACTAAACCTGTCTGTAGGGTCCTATTCAGGGAGGACAGCACTCTGCTGCTGATACTCGAGGTCTGGGGCAGCTGCGGTCGTGAGAACCCTACTATACAGTTATCTAGTGTTTATGGTCTCCTTTGAGGAAAACAATTGTGTCATCAGAACGACATTTTTCTGAGAAAACACAACCAAAATTTCATTACTTTCTAGCATTTTTAAAGGATATGGTATGTTCTAAACCTAATCATGCTAATTGTCTTTATTTAATTCCTATAAACACTAAGAAGTAATTTGTAGCATCCCTTATTTCAAATAAGGCTCAGCCACTATTTTGGAAGATCCACATTTAATCTATCTATTTTTCTAAAGATCTGGGGTCTTATTAAAAAATGTTGCCTTTCAAGGTTTTCCCTCCCAAGAGCTCTACTTAAAATGTTCTGAGGTATTTCCTGGGTCCAGACCTTCCTGCTGATGATCTCTTAAGGCTTCTGTCCGATGGACTGCTCACCCCTGTGTGCTTACTATCTTTCAAGACAGATTATAATGATATACATTTATAAAACCCAATCCTTGTCATAATTTGGCATTCTTTGTGGTTTATACTTTTATTTTTTCTAAGACAACCAGATTCTTGACCTATATCAGAATCATTAGAAGCTGTTTTATTAGAATCCCCTTTGTTCAGAATCTGATGCCTCAATTAAATTGCAGCCTCTGTTGTCTTAGATCATAGAAACAGGCTGGTTTTTCTCTGAATTATTTATAGCATATTCTGTAAAATGCCCAGGATGATGTTTGTCCTGCCCAGGTCCTTCCTCCTCTGACACCATGTGTGCTGAGCTGACCTGGTCTGCTTTGGCTTCTGTACCCTCTTGATCAACAACCCCAATCTGAGGCTCCAAATTTAAAGTGGCACAAGTCTTTCCAGTCTGTGCCTCATTCCTAACACTCAGATACAAAGTCCCCTCCACACAGAAGGTTCTCCAAGGTATCCTGTATCCTTACACACTGTCTGCACAAGGCCCTGGAACCCCTGGCTTGGAGCGGCTGTTACTTGTCTGGGAGTCCCGCCTCTAGTCTGTTCCTGTCCTGCCTTCTTTTTGAGGTACATATTTGATCATGTCATCCTGTTGCTTAAGAACTTCCAGGCTTCCTGGCATAGGAAAAATTGGTTTTATATTCTGAACTTAACAACCTTCCCAGTTGCATTTTCCAGCGTGTCCCTCTCTGCTTTCCTTGGATTTCAGACATATAGCTAGCTACTTCTGTGTATTTGGAATAGCATATGCACTTTCATGCCTCCACTGCATGGTTTAGACTGATCCTTGTCTGATTGCCTCCCACCCTGGGCGAGCAGGCAGTGGCTCTGTAGAGGTCCAGGAGTAGGCCATCCAGGTTCACCACAGGAGACTGCTACTTGATGTAGAGTACAATCTGGATGGGATGGAGGGCTTCCCAGGTTATATCCAAACTGATGGCCCTTCCTCTGTCACCATACAAAGGGTTACCCATGTTGTCAGTCTTAGAAAACCTCACCTAAAGAAGTCTTCCTAGAGGCCTGTAGAAGGGCCAAGACCTCAGGTTATGGCTCAAGTTCATTTGGACTTGAAGAGTACACATTCAGTGACCTGTTGAAAAGCAAGATATCGGGGAAGGAGAGCTTAGATGGTGTCAGAAACCAAACTGGCTGCTGTGTTCATATGCTGGCCGCCGTGGCAAAGCCACCTTGTTTAGTTCATGGTCAGCAGCTGTCTGAGGTAAGTATTATCCCCATTGTTCAAAGGAGGGGCCAGACCCTTGCTGACACTTCCTTCCTACACTCTTCACATGGCTCCCCATTCTCCACTGCTTCTGCAACTGTGGATGGGATTAGATGTAGAGAGAAGTGGACCAGGAGAGCAGGGAAAAAGCAGGAAAGGTCCGGAGATGTTAGGACGTCCTTCCCCCACACCCATTTGAGAGCAGTATGTATCTTTGCAGAATGAAGTTCCAAACACCCTGTGTGAACTTCTCAACAAGACTGACTCTTGGAGAGTAAAATTAATTCCTCCAGGTCACCCAGCCTGGGAGGAAGGAGCCGGGCTGGGAGGAGGACCCAGGTCTTCTGACACTAGTATTCTTTCTACTCTACCACAGGTGTAACGTGGAGAAGGTGCCCAGTAATTCTCAGTTGGAAATAGAAGGAAACAGGTCAGGATCTGTCTTGCATTCCCATGTCTCTAAATACAGGTATCCTTCGACATACAAAGCAAGCCGATGTGTAGAATGGCCTTTGGAAACAAATTTATTTGTACCTCCATCACCTCTACTTCAGATGGGGGTGCAGGTACCCATATTCTTAAACACCTTCCATGCTTTTGAGGTTGTTCTGTGTGCTAATCTGGAAGCATCCACCTGTACATGCATGTCTTACGAAGGTGGCAGAAGCGAGTGTGGAAGCCTGCCCAGACTACAGCACCTCACAGTGGGGGTCTCTGCCTCCTCTGCTCCCTTCCAATCCAGCTCCTGATATGCATCCTCTGGGCCTCTTAACTCTGTGCTATCCTGATGTTGAAGCTTGACACCAAGCACTGGAGGAGACCTGATCTGTTCAACCTGAAGCTGTGTGCATGTTCACGTTGCTCTGCATCCTGGAATTGATCACAGTTGGAGAGGGCAAGTGCTGTGTGCATTTGCTCCTTTGTGTGATGAGCTGGGTTTCAGGGTGTGACCTTTGAGCCTCCCATCATGGAGGGTCCCAGACTTCCTCAGCCAGTCTGTGTAACCTTCAGGTACAGCTGGGAGGAAAGCAGGAGTGCTCTGAAAATTGGATGGTGTTGGTTGATGGGGAATGGAGAGAGATGATGCAGAGGTTAGGAGTTGACCTTAGAGTCAGATGGTGCCAGTGGATGGAAGATGGATGGATATGATGTGAGGGTTAGAAGTTATTGATACATTGACTATAACATTTTCCTCCTTTTCAATCAAACTGACTTTTTAGTATTATCAATACAGTGCTTTGCTTTCCATCTTCCAGTTTTGTCAACTGCTCCAGTAATGTCATCTCTACCATTTTCCCTCCAAATCAATGTAGAATCTAATCTATGGCCAGAAGGAAAAAGAACTGAGGTCATATCCTGTATTTAAGAATGAATACAGATCCCGATCTGTGACCTTTTTTATATAAAGCATTAAAACATGTCTATAGAGATGAAGCTGTTGGGCAAGATTATTGGCCCATGATACTTTTTATTGCCATTCACTAAACAATGATTAATCGTAGAAAGCACGCACACACAAACTGCAGTGCCTACTGAGAACCCTGATTGTACACTCTCTGCCATCATGAGAAAGAACTCCGCCTGTATTTGAAACAACACTTGACTTTGTAGGTTTGGGTAGTTTACATAATGAAGTGACTAGTGTGGATTCTGAAAGTAGGCCTGGTTGTCTGTGGCACAGTCCAGATCAGATGCCCATCCCTGTGAGCAGCCATGGGTTTGAGCTCCTTTTTCCTTTGCGCCTCTCCCTCTCTTCCATCAGAATGGTCATGTGACCATGAAACGTGGATTAATGACTTTAAAGGCTATTGCAAGCCCCTGATGTCATGCCTGAGCTTTCTGAGGGTGGATGATATAAACATATGCAGTTAAGACCCAGATAAATCCAGCTTCACTAAACAGGCATTTAAACTGTCACACCCAGAGGCTTGTATCTGCTTCTTGGGGCTCTTTGGAACCCTTGTCACTCTTTATTGTCTCACATGCTTCTTTTCCTGTAAGCCTGAGCTCACAGTGTCATGTTCAGAGGTTGTATTCTTATGAGTTAACCCTTCCAAGTTTCTCAAAAATCCTTTCTTCCTATTCAAAAGCACAGCATTTTCTGTGTCAGTCTCTGTGTAAGTATTGAAAATGGAAAGACACAGAAGTTAAAATAAATTGCCTTACAGTGCTGTAGGAAGGAGCTATATAAACAAATTGTGCAGCGGCCTGGGATAAGTAAGGGGTGGGGGTTGGGAAGAAGTTGGAAAGCTGCAGGTTGGTTTGTGGGTGGCATAGGGACTCTTCAAGTAGACTCTGATGAGGAGTTGGAGTGTACAAGGCAGAGGTGCTCAGTTGTGTGGGTATGGGCAGCTGTGGAAGTATGGGAAAGCAGGCTGCCTGTAAGAGACCCAGTGTCCCTGTATAACTAGGTTCCCAGGTACAAAGAAAGAGGGGGCAGCAGTGGGTTAGGGGAGAGAGCAGAGTCGGGAAGCCTTGAACTCCAAAGTGAAGAATTTGGGTGTGATCTTCAAGGACTGGAGTACCAAAGCCAGTCTCCATCCTTGTGGTGACTGAGGAGTCTTGTGTTGAGGCTGTAGAAGAGGTCACACCTGAGTTCTTGGCAAGAGGGTGCAGTGGTGCAGTGACCAGTATGTAGTGTCCATCATGGGTAATGGAACGAATGCTACCCACAGAGCCAAGACTGGCTGCACTGTGACAAAAGAAGAGCCACAAGGGGACTGTAGGCCACGGTCAGGTTTGTGTTGTGAACAGCACTCTAATTGCCTGCTATGAGCTGCAGAGTGAATGAGGCGCGGTTTATAGGGGTGTTGTTAGGTGAAAGAGGAGACATCATTCAAATAAGAAAGTGACAGCAGATAGGAAGATGGCAGATCACGCACTCAGAATGTCTGAGGAGCTTGGGGAGACTAGATTTGAAAGAGGATCCTCAGAGCTCTTGGCTCTGTTTCCTGAGTAGTGAGCAAAGGGCTGTGCCATTTACAGAAATGCAGGTAGAAGGAAAGTGGGCGTGCGTGGGCCCGCGTGTATTCACATTTCTGAATACATGTGTATGCAATGAGTTAGCTTTACATACTCCATGACAGAACACCTCAGTCCTCTCCATGACTATTAACAGCCCTTAACGCTATGATTATGTCATTAGTATTGACTGCCCTTTCAGGGCCAGCCAACAAAGTCTTTTAGACAAACTGTATTTTAAGCATCCTTGACATCAGGCTTTCTTGCTTTCTTGCTTGCTTTTCTCTCTCTCTCTCTCTCTCTCTCTCTCTCTCTCTCTCCCTCTCTCTCCCCCTCCCTTCTTTCTTTCTCTCTCTTTTTTTGGTTTATTTGAGACAGGGTCTCCCTGTAGCCCCAGCTGGCCTGGAGCTCACTATGTAGACTAGGCTGGCCTCCAACTCACAGAAATCTGCCTGTCTCTGCCTCCTGAGTGCTGGGACTGAAGGCGTGTGCCACCACGCCCGGTGCATTCTTTAATGTTTTTAACTGGGGGAGAGGACACTGCTACAGTGGCTCTCATGCTGGAACAACTTTGCATTTAGTAGCTTTAATCAGATTCCAGAAAAGTTGCTGCGAAATAACACTTGAACAAAATTCAAGTTCTGGGACTCAGGCAGTTCCTTGTTTAGATCCTCTGGACCCCATATAGGGCTGCCAGCTTGTTTTATGGACTAGCAGGTGACAGGTCATAGCTCATGCTTTGTCTGAGAGAAAGTCTCCTAGAGTAGGGCTTCCAACACTAGTCTAGCTCCCATGGCGATACCCAGTCCAGCCTGAGAATCTGGGAGACCTTGCTGTGAAGTAAACTGTCTAATGTTCCTTAACCCTGTTTCCCAAATTCATTGTCCAGTGAACCCCCAAATAAACTGCTATGCTATGGAGAACACTTTGGGAAATGCTGAGTTTGGCCTCTGATACAGCATTTAGTTCAGGGAGAATCTGCACAGGCAAATGTGGGTTCCAGTGCTTTATTTTTCTCTCATTACAAATACTGATGATGTGTTTACTGGAGCAGACTGTTGTGACTCCTGGTGACTTGGTGCTTATTTGTGGTACTCATCCAATTATATCCACATACAGAAGGTGAGTGGGCCACAAATACACTTAGTCCTTCTGCTTCTGAGACATTGAAGGCCTCCCCTAGCTTCCAGTATTACCTTGGCCCCTCAGCCCTTCTATTGATGATTCTGCCTGGCAGGCTCCAGGCCAACACCCACATGAATAACCCCTTAGGGAGAGGAGGCAACACCTACTGGAGATAGCAGAGTGGATCATCTTATAGGGAAGATACAGTGGTTTTCAGAACAATTCCTAAAACATTTTGATCAAAAGTATATTGATATTAAAGGTAGTAGGTATTATATATATTATATATATACATATATATATGTATGTTTATCAAAATATAATGATAATTGTTCATGGGAAGAATCTGTCTTGCTCCATTGCAGGAAAGAGCACTCAGCAGCCTGTTACGACCCACCATTGAACAAAGTAACTTTGGGATCTTAAACACAGGTGCAGAGACATTTGATTTTGTTTGCCACTAAAAGCTTTGTGCTTTTGAGTTTGGTCACTGTCAACTGAAAGCTTTGAAGCATGTTTACCATGCAGAAATAAAGAGACAGCATGGGATCAGAGGACAGAATCTTAGTCAGGGAGGGCCCATCCTCGTATTTTGAAAGGAAGGAATCTCTTAAGGGTCTCAGGTCTCTAGGAAGAGATGGTGAAAGGCTAGGGAGGTGGCAGGCTGGGGAGGTGGCAGGCTGGGGAGGTGGCAGGCTGGGGAACTGGCAGGCTGGGGAGGTGGCAGGCTGGGGAGGTGGCAGGCCATTTAGCTGTCACGCCTGGACAGAGAGAGGTGAGAATTCCATACCTTTCTTGCTACTGTGAAATATCAAGTGAGAACAAAGGGTAGGAAACTAGACAGCCTCTGTCAGTATTTCTAAAAGTCAAGTGATAGGTGGTAAATCTACTAAAAATGTGTCAAGATGCTTGTCAAGAAAATAAAAGAGCCAGGCATGGCCCATGCCTGCAATTCTAGTACTTGGGACGTTGACACTGGAGGATTGGGAATTTGAGTCCAGCCTGGGCTATATATAAAAACTAAATAGATGGAAAAAGAAAATACTTTGAATCATATGTCCTTTTGCAAGGGTCTCTGATAGTAGTAATTGCCATAGGAAAATTCTGAATAATTATCTAGAAACTGTGCAATAGATTGTTATGGTTTCATTACCTTAGATAAGATATTATATAATTATTTTGCTTATTTATTCATTTTGCTTTATTGGTTATACTTAAAAGTGCCAATTGTGAGGCATGCTGTTCAAATATGACATAAAAACTGGTCATGCGACACATGTCTTTTCTGTAGAGAAAATAAAATTTGATTTTTGACTTACAGCATGTTTTCAAGCAAGGTAACCT